TCTGACCAGGGGCCCATTTGGGGTCCTCGGGGCACCTCCGGCATTGCTTGGGGTGCTCCCATGGTCAGAGGTCCTTGGGGCACCCCCATGGGAACTCTTGGGTGCCATTGACTGGGATGTCCATTTGGGGTGCTCAGGACACCCATGTGGGGCTCCTGGATGTCCCTTGGGGGCCCCCATGAGGTTGGGGCGCCCATCCAGACTTGGGATCCTTGGAGCACCCCACGGGGTGCCTGGGGCCCATTTGGGGGTGTTCAGCACACCCATGCAGGGCTCCTGGATGTCCCTTGGGGCCTCCTGGACATCCTTTGGGACCCCCATGGGGTTGGGGCGCCCATCCAGACTTGGGATCCTAGGAGCACCCCACAGGGTGCCTGGGCCCATCTGGGGTGCTCAGGACACCCACGCGGGGCTCCTGGCCGTCCCTTGGGGCCTCCTGGACACGCTGGACGCCCGCAGAGCTGCAGGCCGCCGTGGAGGAGGTGCTGCCGGCCCTGCGGCAGGACGGCGTCCGCGTCTTCTACCTGGACGCCGAGTCGCCCACGGCCGGCGTCGAGGCGCTGGGGCCCGACATGGACGAGGCCTCCGAGGAGCCGCTGCCCGCCCACCACCGCGCCCACGTCACGCCCGGCTCCAAGGCCGTCTACATCTTCACCTCCGGCACCACAGGTGGGAGCCCCGAAGCTTGGGCGAGGAACGGGAGGTGGCCCCCAACCTCGGCCCATCTTGGGAAAGACGGGGGAGAACGTGAGGAGGAAGGGGCCAAGATCTTCTCAGTGGTGGCCAGGGACAGGACAAGGGGCAATGGGTGGAAGTTGAGACCCAGGCAGCTCCATCTCCAGGTGAGGAGGAACTTCCTTGGTGTGAGGGTGCCCGAGCCCTGGACCAGGCTGCCCAGGGAGGCTGGGGAGTCTCCTTCTGTGGAGGTCTCCAAACCCACCTGGACATCGCCCTGTGCCCCGTGCTCTGGGTGTCCCTGCTGGAGCAGGAAGGTTGGACTAGATGATCTCTAGAGGTCCCTCCAACCTGAAACATCAGGAAGGTTGGACTAGATGATCTCTAGAGGTCCCTTGAACCTTGAACATCAGGAAGGTTGGACTCGATGATTTCTAGAGGTCCCTTGAACCTTGAACATCAGGAAGGTTGGACTAGGTGATCTCCAGAGGTCCCTCCAACCTTGAACATCAGGAAGGTTGGACTCGATGATCTCTAGAGGTCCCTTGAACCTTGAACATCAGGAAGGTTGGACTCGATGATCTCTAGAGGTCCTTTCCAACCTGGAACCTTCTGGGATTCTGTTTCTCCTCGACAAATGGCCCCTGGGAGAGCCCGGGTGTTGTGGGGCCGGTGGGTCTCCTAGTCGAGGGTGAGCCCTCTTTGTGGACAAGGCCAGGAGGGTCAACAAGACAGCCAGGAAAGCTGGAAGGGCCTTGTGGACTCAGCACCATGAAGACCACAGGGCCAGGTTCCTCGCAGCCACATCCACATGAGGCTTGAAGACCTCCTGGAGGGGTCTCCACCACCATCAGGGGTCTCTTCCCAGCTCCGCCTCCATGGGGACAGGGAGGAAGGGGCCTCTGGGAGCTTCCAGATCCAACCCTGACCATTGCAGGCCCATCTGGACCAAGTTCCTCCTGGCCATGCCCACGTGAGGGTTGGGGTTCACCAAGGAGGGAGAATCCCTGGGGGTCTCCCTGGTTCTATCCCAAGCTGGACCGCTTGGGCCCGGTTCCCCACGGGATTCTTCCAGCACCATTTGAGGACCTCCAAAAAGAGAGATCCCCCATCTCTCTTGACSTACCACCAGCTCTGCCCCACTGGGGCAACCAGAGATGGGACCTCCTTGATCCAACCCTGACCAGGGCAGGTCCAGGCTTCTCACGGCAAGATCTCGAGAAGGTCTGAAGACCTCCAAGGGATGACACCAGCCACGTTCTGACCCAACGAGGGTTTTCCCACCTGGTCCTCCTGCCAACGTCGTCGCTGTGGCCTGTTTGCCCCAGGGCTGCCCAAGGCCGCCGTGATAACGGAGAAGAAGCTGCTGCTGGTGGCCAGCCTGGCGCGGCTGTGCGGGCTGCGCGCCAGCGACGTCCTGTACACGGCCCTGCCGCTCTACCACTCGGCCGCGCTGCTCGTGGGGCTCGCGGGCTGCCTCGAGGTCGGTAGGTGCCGCGCGCCCCCCAGGGACCCCGCGGCGCACCGAGGGCGCCCGAGGATGGACGGAACCGGGGACGCGGGGGACGGATGGAGGGAGGAGACGGGAGAGGAAAGGGGAGAGGAGGGGATGAAGGGAGAAGGATGGCTGGTGGTAGGAGGAGGTAGAGGGGGGACAAAAGTGTGCGTGTGGAGGGAAGAGAGAAGATGGAAGATCTAGAGTGAGGGATCTAGATCTCTCACTCTAGATGGATGGGTGGGTGGAT